ACCAATCAGGTTCATCAGGGCCGGATGCTTGACAAATTGTCAAAAGCTGATGGTATCTTTGGAAAATGTTTATTTTTTTATATTAGACAAAATTGAAGAAATCAGGTAATAAAATAAGAATAGATCTAGCAACCACTCGGAAACCACGTTAGAATGTATATAGCGTATTATTGTTATCTATATTTTGTTATTAAAAAATGGATTTTCACATAAACTATACTTCATACCTAGTATTTTTGCTTTTTTATAATTAAGCGTGGCAACATCGCATATTTACGTCCGAATTCCTTCCGTAGACTCAGAACCGCTGGGCAGACAATATATAGTCAGCCTGTAGAAGATATCCAGTGACGCAAACAACAAACAAGCACAAATTGTAAAGGCCGAGACGCTGGCAAACTTCACACTTCACACAGCAAACTGTAATATGAGATTCAGCATACAATAGGGAATCTGAACTCAGGCAACTGACTATATTGTGAAGCCACGAAAAATACGGTTCTAAAAGGTTTATGATAAGAAAAGGCAACAAGACATGTATCCAGACATTCAGCGTGGTTTTCAACAGAAGTGGATAATCAGCCATAACATGAATTAGAGCATCATCCTCAAGCTCATCCTAGTCAATGCTTCCAGCTGTGATGGAAGTTTTTCTAGAAAAGATATCAACAGCCATAGACAAAGGCAGAGCAAGAAAAACTATCATCATGCATAATCAACTTGAATGCCAAATTAGGATGCAAGAGGGAATGAGGGATTTCGAACACAAAATTGGCATTTTCTTAAAAGGATTATGATTAGAGTCCGGATTTCAAGGCATTATGCTTTTTGTTAATATTAAAAGCAAGTATAAGACGACTCAAAATATTGACGAATTAGACAAAAACAATGTCGAAAATGCACTGTTTTTAATGCTTATTTTGCTTTTTTTCAAGTTTTATGCTTATTTTATGGTTTGTGCTTATTTACAGCTTTTTTTAGATTTTTTTGTACTGCGAAAGTATATAATATGGCACACGCACACTCTTATATCAACGCGAAATAAAATAAACAAACATCCTGTCTCGCCCGATATGTAACTTTTTTTAAAAATCGATAATACGGGGGAAACCCCAGCCCAAAAACCAATAGATGGTACTAGTAGCAGGTAGGAAGTACTGACTTAGGGCCAGTTTATTTCACCTTGTGATAAACTGTCAGGTATGCAATCTGACGGATAAAAACACATGCAATCTGTAATCTCATCGGTCGAACAGCTATCCACTGACCAATAGAATTATTCAACGGTAAATTTATCTTGCAGATAGTTACCAACAAGTTTAACTGAAGATGAATAAACCGGGCCTTAGAGTTACAAATGAACCCATATGTGGTTACAAAATTTAAATACGTTTTTCCGACTACAAAAACATTTTAGGTGACAGAAGACTAAACTTTACTATGGAACATTCAAATCAGCATTTAGTTATTGCTTGTTTCTACAAGAACTATTTTTTTTTATTGTTCATTAGATACTTTGTTTTGTTTACTTCAATGTTTAGTTAGGTACCTATTATATTTTTTATCATATATTCTAGATAAAAAATAAATTTTTATTCCACTTTTCTTGCTTTTTTTGCCTTGTTTATGCATATTCCATGCTTTTTTTGTGAAAAATTTGATGCTTTTTAAGCGCTTATTTCAACTTTTTTTATGCTTTTTAATCCGGACTCTAATTATGATGATGCCGAAATGAAAAAAGACTAAGGAGGATAGAAAAGGGAATTGATGAGACCAAAACGACGACTTCTAAGCAAGCGACAAGCAAATAAACAATAAAGCTGTTTAACTAGGGTGGCTTTCGCCATGGTTCACATACTTCTGACCTTCTGATCATATTTGCATCATAAAAATTTCCACGGATACCATTTGCCGCTCTACCTGACCTTCTTGGATTCTATAAGAAGGAATTTAATAACATCGAGCTATGGACCATAAATGGACAATTCTCGAACTAACTCATAATACAGACAGCTTATTCATAGCATTTACAAAAATGACAAATTGAAGAAGGCACAGCTGGAAAAGAACACCAATACCAATCCGATCAGGAGGAGTTAGACAGGAAAATATGATATAACATTTCACATTTCACGCTAACAATGAAAGGCGTATTCAAGAATACTAGATCGTTCTGGACCTGGTAGTAATATAATCTGCGAACGATTAAAATCATCTACAGTTCGTCGACGATATCGTACTAATTTCCAATATTTTTGAAGAGCTACCGTTGATAGCCAGTCAGTTGGCAAGAGCATTGGAAGAAATGTGCGTGAAGTTGAATATCGAGAAAACAAAATTGATAATAAATAACACCGAAGAAGATAAAAGAGTCACCATTGAAGCATCTCTTTGGAGAGAGTCAGGAAATACATCTGCTTAGAAGAACATATAATGGGAAAACACACTATACATATTTGGTCTAAGGCAACCTATAATTGACGATAAAAATGCTGGAAAGCAGAATCATTAATTCAGGAATTGGAGACTATACCATAAAGCAGCGCTGAGACTATTAGTGTCACATACAGTGAAATCCAAAATAGTGATGAGTGGCCGGAAAGCGCTGTCCTGGATCAGGAACAGTATGTCGGGCTAAGCTTGTTTCCTGGACATAGTAATATCGAAAGGAACCCAATGTCGGATAGACTGGCAAAACTGGGAATGGAGAAAGACCAAGCTGAAACAGACGCCGCACCACAGCTAACGATCAAACTAGTGAAGGATTTAGCAGACAAAACCATGACGTAGCTGAACAGCAGAAGATGGAGCAATCGCAATGACTGAGTAACATCACAAGCTCTCTGGCCGTACGTGGATATAGAGAAAATCGGGAAATTATTTAAACTGGATAAAAGATTGATACGTACCTTACTAGGTCACTGTGAAGTTGGAACAATGCTCCATACGTGGGGCCTCGGAACCGATGAACTATATCAAGAATGCTTTGAGGAGGATGAAACAATAGAGCACCTACTATGCCACCGTAGAGCCCTGCAGGCAGAACTCCTACACCACTTGGGGCGAAGTTTCCCGGAGGACCTCGAAGACGCGGGAGAGATAGGTAAAGTATTTTTCACAATAAATGGTTGACTCCTTTTAACTATTGTTCGTCCATTTTTAACTGATACTTTCCGTATGAGGAGCAAGGGGGTGTTTCATATGGCAAGAACAGGTGTGACGTCAGGTAACCATCGGCGTTCTAATGTAGAGTGCCACCAGCTCACATTCCGTCCGAGTATCAGATTAAAATCGACGGACAATACCTGGGACGTTTTGCAAGAGCTTGGCCATGAGCACAACAGGAATACAATGGAAATACATCTGGTAGTTTTATTGCAGTCCAGTAACTCGATACCAATTATTATGAAAAATACTTTACAATGGAAATACTGAACTTCTTAAAACCCATGCATTGGCACAAAACGAAGAAAGGAGAAACATACTAAAGATTTAAGAGGGAACCACCCTAAAGAAGGAATCACAATGGGCTAATGGACCTCCGAATGCAAGCTATAGGGAGTTGTAGGGCAAACCCTTTAAGACCTAACGACCTAACCTAACCTAGGTATAATATACCTACCAAATTCACCCCCAAGGCCCAAACCGGTTGGCTTACATATTCCCTAACTAGATACTTCTAAAAAAAAAAGGAAATTGTATTCTATTTTAAGTATTGAATGTATGTATTTCCATCTGATAAAATAGCTATTTATATCGGGTCTTCAAAAAAAAAAGCAATCAAAGATTGCTATGGTTTTTTAAACGTATGTCTTAGCAATATTTTTCTTCAATTTTGTCAATGAACTTTAATGTCAGAATGTCATGTCAAAAATCCTTATCAATAAAGAAACAATAATGCGACCAACCAAAGCAATCTTTGATTGTTTTTTTTTCTTTTTTTTTTCTTTGAAAACCCGATACAGTAAGTTACAGAATGGGGGTCTTTTAGGCAAGGAACGTGAAAAGTGGACAACACGTCGAGTGACTGAAAGACATAAAAAATAACGTCTATAAATTCTACAGAGAAAAAAACAATCCAAGTTGTGTTTTGAGTAACAGAAAAATTCAATTTTTATTTATGATTAGAAATAGATAAAATTCAAATGCATGTAGTTTCTCATTTCTGAACAATGAGTGACACTTTTAGGCACTAGTGCTTAAAAGTGTCACTTATGCACTGAGTCCTTAGAAGAATGTCATTTAAAAACTGAAATGTGACAATCGAAAAGTCGCTATATTATGAAACGTCAGCAGAAAAAACAGTTCTATTATATGACTTCTTTCAAACTTGTGAGAGATAAATTTTAAATGAAAAACTAAATTGCTGGTGTAATAAACACACAATGACCCACATTTTACAGTTTATATTTTTGACCAAGATAAACTTTTGTGATTATGACACTTCCTTAGATGAAAATTTGTTTAGATGTGGCCGGTTTCAAGACTTCAAGTTGAATGACACAGTAAAATAAACACATTACAGTTCTTATTTTTATGTTATTTGCCCTGATTATGTGCTGTCAGTGTTTTACTTGCGTAAATAATCGTTAAGTTTTGCTTCCTGGCTGGATGCATTTACTGAGTCATTCGTCGGACTATGGAGATAATTATTATGTGCCTCAAATTGTTAGTATTATATTCTAGGATTTTCACCTGAAATTTATGGCAAAATAAAAAAACACAACATTGATTTACATTGATACATTTATTGGAAATAATTTCACTAGTACAATTACAAAGTAAATTCATAAAATGAACATTTTCCAAAACAAAAACTTACATAAATAGTCAAACACAAAATGTGTTAAATAGGCAGTAAATTTATAATATGAAATTTTTTTTTTCCTTCACATAAATAGCAAAACACAAAACGGGTCAAATACATAGCAAATTTTTATAAACAACGAAACACCAAAACATGTTGAATGTACATTAAATTTATAGAAAATGAACATTACCTAGATCGATTCATCGATATCGTCAACAACGCACAAAGTCATACTCTCTTGAAATCGTCCAGTTAAAGAGTCCACCAAATCCTTAACTCTTCCAGTAACAACTTCATTGTTCGCTTCCGTATTAGTGGTGGAGTTTAGGATGTTATTTCTCCCGAGCATAGTGCAATCGTATCCATCCAAACCGCTGTCGTTATCATTCACAACCGTTGAGTCAATTGTGATATCACTAACTTCACCAGCGTCTGAAAAATCAAAGTCACTTGTGGAGCTTTGATTGTGACAACCAGAACATTGGCAAGAAAGTAAGCTAGCTCTAGCCATTTGGACTTTCCTGAACTCTTCACGTTGCCTCCTCAAATGAACTTCTCGTTTTTGAACATCAGTCAATTTCTTGAAGTTCAGCTGCTTCTTTTCGCCATAAAGTCTCTCGAATACAGATGAATTAAGGGTGCCATCAAGACATTCCTTGCTGTAACGTCCTTTTTTGCACATTGGTTCCTGGACTGTACAATACCTCTTTTGAGTACGTTTAGTAGATTTGGGCTTTGGAGCACACGATTCACGTATTTTCCGGACAGATTCTACGGTTTTTGGACAAGGTTTTTTTCTGGATTCATAGAGACGTTCATAAATGTTGGAATTTTCTTTATTGTTATTCTGTAGCTTTTTGGTGGCAGTTTTAATAACTCTAGTATGAAGTGGTGGTTTTGGGGAACTAGTTTGCAAATTACCTCTGAATACAAAATGATTTGCTGGAAACTGCTCAGAACAACTTTGCATGTTAACGCAATGTTCTATTACAGTTTTTTTCTTACACCATTCGTTGTGAGATTCAAAGTTGAATTTTTTCTTAACAGGCACTTCGGGTTTCAGGTTTTCTTGGACTTCCACAATCTTAGTTAAGTTTTCATTAGTCACTGTTAAACCGTAGTCTTTCAACACTTTTTTTTGCACTAAGGTGAAACGCTCTTGCTCACTTAAATGCGGCCGGTACTGTTTTATACGATTATAAACTGATAGCACTGATGGAACCACTTGGTCTTCTTTTAGCCTCAACATCTTGCTCTATTTTCTTGAAAAACCAGACTGATGATTGAAATGAGTTTGCAGTGGGTTTTTAGGCAGAATCAGGTAACCGGATTTCCGAAATAACATCATTATTTTCTAATTACCTAGAATACTAGATGAGAGGTTATTTTTACCTGTGCGTGCATTATTTGTGCACTGTGATTTTATTGAACTGGCTTGCTAGATTTACCAAAATGAACTGAATAAATTAAATTTGTTGTTTGCAAGCAGGTAGATTTCAACAAAAACTAAAATGTATTCTATGGTAAATATTTCTTTCTTTGTGGTTCATTTTTGTTCACAATATACTTGATACGTCATTATTCATTGATACAATTGAAATTAAAATTCAGTCAATGTTTTATTACCGAACCAAAATTGAATGATAAATAGGCTGACTGGAATAATTAAAAGTAATCCTTTTTAGGAAACAATTCATAATGTTTTAATAGAGAAGGACCGGTGATCAAACCAAAGTCTATCAAACTGTAATTTTTAAAAAGTATAATGAACTTGGTTATAAATTTTACCACCGCAGACATCTTTGGACAAATCGTTTATTTGGGTTAAAAAATAAAAGAAAAATTGTAATGTAAAAAAACTTGTTGCGCCCACGTAAAGCCTTGCCGATGGGATACATTTTGAAATAAAAAATGTTGCTAAATGATCGTTTTGCATATTTCATTAGGCCAGTTTGATAAAAAAATTTCAATCAAAATTTCTATTTTTTCCAAGACCTCCCTGAAACATGATTTCCTAAGAAGGCAAGAGTTGGAAAATATCGTACTAGGATTTGAAATGTCTAATAAAATAAGAAACTTTTACATGGGAAAATTGATTCTTCTTTAATTCGTCTTCCGAAACTTCTTAATCACCAAATTATTAATTAAAAAATGTCATATTTTGATATTTATAGGTACCTAATTAGCATGATATGTAGTTGCCAACTGTGGAAAGAAGTTAAAAATAGAGGAGTAGTAGTTAAAATTGGAAATTGACTCTTGCTTCGATCCAGAAGCAACTTTTAACAAAATCAAAACTGAAACATCTGGAAGTTAACTTTTCATTATAGGAAATTGTTGAAAAATATTTAAATTGCAAGAATCGGTTATGTATAACTTTTTATTATAAGCATGAAATCTGTACCTTTCCTTCTTTTTGCGAATTATTAATTTTGTGGGACCCCCATAGTGATGAACCAAGATTAGTTTTCATCCATGATATTCTAGTTTCATTGAAGGGAACAGAAAATGAATGCAAAGCTTAGAGGCAAATAGACTAAAAAAAATCTCCAAAGATGCAAAAATTGAAAGTTGTAGATAAATTCCTCACTAGGATATGTATAAGGTATGGACAAAGTCTTAGCTGAAGCTATGGATAATTTTCCATTATAGGAAGTTGAATCTTGTTTTCGTTTTTTTAAGACTAATTCTTGTTTAATAATAAATAATTGGAACAAGGTGAACATAAATTATAACTGGTGGCTTACTAGTGGCAGTGTATTTCTTATGGAAATTTTCAAGTGACCGGTCAGCCACCAGTTGGTACTTTGTTCCAATTGAGTTTGGATATACTATACTTACATAAATATAATGCTAAAAACTGCCATTGGACATTTTCCAGATTTGCCTTCAGTATAAACAGAAAAAAAAAACATATCATGTAACTGATTTTAGGTGTTTCGAAAAAAAATTCTCTTCAACTTTGGGGATTGTTGGAGATGTTTTAATCTAGACTTACCTACCTGTTATTATTGTAAACTTAGCTGGTACCACCGATTGCTGGTACTTACAATGTTTGTGATAGAAATGTATGTCATTCAATTTGTCATCCTTTAGTCATTATTCTGTAGTCGCTTCCCGTGTTCTTTTTACGTTGAAATAAATATTTCTAAGTTCAATGCCTCAAACTTCTTTCACATTACTAATAGGTTACGGGCCAAGGTATGGAACGTGTGCATAAACTGTGAAAAATGTAAATTTCAAGGAAGGGAGGCCGCACATCAAAGAAACATGAAACGTGAAACATGAAACATAAAACGTGAAACACGTTTCATGGAAATAAAATAAGAACAAATAAATACAAGTCCGCCCACCAATGGAACAAGTGTGATTCATGCGCGTGAACATTTTTGTTGCTTGAAACGTGTTTCATGAAATAGATCGCGTTCTATTTTTCTGTTTCAGTTTCACGGTTTTTGGTCATAAATACATTCATAAAAAAATTAATAACGACCAAGAATTCAATATTGTGTTCCTTCCGGTGATGGAGCAATATGGAGAATTCAGAATTGTATAAGTATAACATGGAGAAGTACTCGAATCACAAGAAAAAGCCTAGCAAAATGTTGCCTAACAGGTAAAAGGTGCATTATTTTATGGTTGTACCCAGTAACGTTGTTTCCTTTAGTTTTTTTTGGCGTTTTGACAATAATAGAAAAGTTGCCCAATAGCAGTTGTAGTTGCTCCTCATCACTTTCCATTGTGTGCTACAGTCTACACTCCACTTCACTACCAAAAGACTTTGCAAACATTATTCTTGTTTCTTCAATTAGTATACAAGAAAGAAACGGTTTCGCTTTTCGTAATTTATTGTTTCATGTTTTATGTTTCATGTTTTATGTTTCACGTTTCATGTTTCTTTGATACACTACCTAAAGAGTGTTGCGAATCGCGGAAAATTCAGTCCATTGTTATTTTTTCATTTATTTGCTGAAACCAAGATGGACGAGTCGACTTCAAATCTCCATTTAGGATTTGATAAACTTACTGGTCGAGAAAATTATAATAATTGAAAATTTACCATGAAAATTTATGGCGATGTATAGAGGGTCTTTCTGTTGAAGATAAATTAAAGCAGGAAGAACGAGAACGTTCAAACCAGAAGGCTTTAGCTATAAAATTCGCCTCGAGGTTTATCCCTCAGCATATCGTCATGTCAGGTCAGCAAGCACAGCAAAAGAAGCATGGGTGAACCTTGAAAAAGTATATGAAGATAGAAGTCTATCTAGAAGGTAAGCCTTAATACGTGGTTTAGTTCGAGTCAGACTAAAAAAACTATCGAGACCTATGTAAATGAAACTATGTCACTTGCTCAAAAATTAAGTGACATGGGTCAGCCAGTGGATGATGAGTTTCTAGGAGTAATATTATTGAGTGAACTCACTGTAGACTATGATCCAATTGTAATGGAAATTGAAAATTCAAGTGCAGTGATCACAAATAACTTCATCAATGCTAAGCTTCAAATATGAAAAAGAAAAGTCTGAGACAGGATTGTATTCCAAGTATAAAAAGCACTTTAACAAGAAAAATGTAAAATGCTTCAACTGTGGGCTGTTTGGTCACTTCAAGAGACAGTGTACCAAGGAAAATCATAAGCACTCGTGATAAAAATAAAGATGAAAAGAATAAAGGTAGACCTAAGGACACCAACAGAAAAAAATAAGCGAGAAAAGGCACTACATACTGTCTTAGCATCAGCTGAATTGGTAAATACATCCAGTTAGTATGTTGACTCAGGAGCAACTTCGCACATGTCATATAACGAAGATTGTCTTCAAGATTTTATTACCAAAGGTGACAGTGAGATTTTGGTAGCAAATAACCAATAACTGAGTAGTATTGGTTTTGGGAATACAACAGTTTTTACGAAAAATGATTCTAAGGTAGTTTCTAACATTATGTGTGTTCCAGATTTAAAAGCCATTTTGCTATCGGTGAGTAAGATGGTGGAAAAAGATCATGCAGTAACATTTGACAATAAAAGCTGCCAGATATATGACAGTGAAAATTTCCAACTTAAAGGAAATATTGTAGCAACTACATCCAACAAAAATGGTCTTTATCAGCTGGATTTAGTCAATCAGTGCACATATTTGACTAAAACTGCAAGCATGGAAGAATTATGTCATTGAAGGCTGGGACACTTGAACAGAATAAGTATGTCTTTGCTCAGACGAGGTTTGGCTACTGGTATCGATGATTAAAAGGATGAAAAAGTGGATCAATGTAGCATTTGTTTTCTTACAGGAAACCAAAGTCGTCAGCCTTTTAAAAAGACGCGTAGTAAGCGTGCCAAAAACTTACTAGAGCTGGTCGCTGGTCCATACTGATTTGTGTGGTCCAATGCCGGTTACATAATGGCACCAAGTATGTCAATACTTCTTTTGAAAATTATTTAAAATCAAAAAGTATAGAACACCAATTAACCGTAAGATATACGCCTGAACAAAATGCTGTTGCAGAAAGGACAAACCGGACAATAATTGAGAAAGCAAGGTGGCTCATCCAAGAAGCTAAATTGGAAGAAAAAATTTGGGCAGAAGCTGCAAATACAGCTGTTTATTTGAAAAATCGCGCTCCTCACAAAAATGTTCAAGCTTCAACTCCACAAGAAAAATTGACAGGTGAGAAAGTAGATTTAAAACACCTCAAAGTTTTTGGGTGTATTGCGCATGCGCACAGTCCCGATCATTTGCGAAAGAAATTTGATTCTAAGAGCAAACAATATATCTTTGTTGGCTACTGTGAACAAACAAGGATATAGATTCTTTGATATTCAGAAACCAGGTCACATAATAAAATCTAGAGATGTGGTGTTTTTTGGATTATACATCTCACTGTACATTATTCCCATATGACACGAGAGGCTTAATAAGTGATAAGCCTTTTGGGATTATCGCGCTTGGTGGCATTTATAGCAAATTCTATTATAGAAATTTTTTTAAATTTTAAAGTATTAAAGTTTTTTTTTTTTTTTTTTTCACGGATATGCGCACTCGCAAGGAAATGTCCTATCACGCTCGAGAAGCGGCAAGTGCGCGGAAATGTCGGTGTATGTTGGTCTTGAAACGGTTCAGGTTGTAACCTGAAGGGAAAACCGTCGCAGGGAGTTTATTCCACAGCGATGTTGTTCTCCAGAGATATGAATTCTGATATAATATAATTCTTGGTGCCTCTAGTTTGACAGTAAATTCATGGTTACCGTCT